GAACTACAGAAGAGCAAGCTGGGAGGAAACTGCCGGGGGCGAGGCAGGATCCCAGCAATGCAGCGAGAGTACAGACCTACACATGCTCACATTCAGCTCTGCAGACACAGGCACCCACAAAGCCCTGGCCAGACCAAGGACACCTGCCCCGCTGTGCCCAGCCACGGGTCCAACCTGGGCTGTTCCGGCCAGCAGGAATGGAAAAGCAATGGGGAAATGGTGAATCGCTGTAACCAACACAGCTAAAGCAACAAGCCTCCTAGTGAGCATGAGTGCAGCTCGTGCTGGCACACGGAACCCCTTTGTGCAGGGCTGTACCGCTAACGAGGCGCCTATCGCCGTGCCAGCGCAGCCCTTGTGGTACAGCCTAATCCTGAGATTGAATTACCTGCCTTCCTCTAATTAGCACCGCCTAAAACACAGGGTGAATGAAAGCAATCATATTTTAGAATGGCCTAAAGTAAACTGAGTTATGACTTAGACTGAATCAGCACAGCTAAAGCCAAATTGCTTCGAACTGCTCTGATTTGATCCGAGCTCCCGTTAATTTACTAACTTCAATTAGCCATCCTTAAACACAGCCTAAATCAAGGCAGGCTCCTTTTCTTTCATGGCAGGCTTCAGAAATGCTCACATGCCCTACAGTATTGCTTTCTTTGCCTTCCTCTGCTGATAACGCCACGCGTGCAGCGCTGCTGCCGCACGTTTGTGTGCATAGGTGCATGTATTTGCATACGCTGGTAAATTCCAAGCCAAATGTTTTAGTTGTGTAACTTTTTTCTACATACACCTTGTGTACCAGCAGTGAATGGTAGGAGATTTATTTTAGCCTTGTACTACTGTAGGCAAGCAGACAGCTTCCTTTCTAGATGCTGTGGATTTAACAGCTCCTTTCATTTCCATCGCAATCCTTATCTTGAAGTTACACTGATACAATATTTTACATTCAAAACTATGAAGTGCTTTATTCCCTCTAACTGCATTGCTCACCTAACAAAAGATGTGAAATCAGAAGGGAGTTTGGAACATTTGGGATCACTTCCCTTTCTGTTGTCTCTTACAAGCAACCTGAGCATCCACTCCTCATCATGGGCAGAGCACTCCTTAAAGCAGCTGGGACAGAGAGGTGCAGACACCAGCTGTGGGGTTATTCTCACCCAGACGCACACAGATCCAACTTTGCCCATAGGGAGCTGCATCCTTTTGGTCACAATACAGCAGAGATCGATGTGGCTGCCCAGTCATTTCTGCCCATGACAGCTGTATGTTTGCTTCTCACTGCTCATCCCAGCCCCAGCACGAGGGCAGCAGGAGGGGCAGCTGGGGACACACGCCTGCAGTGCTGCTGGAGGTGGAAATACACTTCAGGCTTCCTCAGCTCACTGTTCTACACCAGAGCGTCCTGACGACTGTTCTCCCTGGATCGTGAGGTGAGATGAAACAACTTATTTTCCATAGTTAAGAGGACTTTAATCAAAGTAATTATTGAAGCTGATCTGATTAGGAAGTAATCTATTTACAAAAAGTTAAGACTGCCAACTGGGAAACAACTATCCAGCCTGCGATTGGGGATGATTTCATGCTTAATTTTTCAAGTGTTATTGAATATGTCATCTGTGAATGTAAAATATTTATTTTTCTACACTAATAAATAATCGCTATCTCAGCAACGCAACGTGCAAACAACACGTAATGCTGGCTTGCTTTCAAGCATCTGCGTGTGAGGTTCTCCTCGGAGCAGCCAGAAGTGATGCGCTGCACCTGGCACCGCACGCAGCAACCACCAGGGCATGAATTGCAGGACAGCAGGCGGCATCACTCAGCGCCAGCACTGCCCCCTGAAAGCACCAAGCCAGCCTCAGTGTGATTCACCACCAAGGTGCTTACGGCGCCTACTCGCCCTTTCTGAAGACTTATCTGGGATGTGTAAACATCAAATGAACTCTTTGCATACAACAGACAAAAAACAATCTTCCACTTGAAATCTGCAAGGGATCGGTGCCAACACTGTAGTGGGAATGCAAACTGCTAACAAAGGAAAGAATTTCATTCCGACTTGGCTCTTTACTCCGCGGGCTGGTAAGAGTAAGAATCATCGCATCTGATCCACTCACAGCTCTGAGCCAAACAGCACTGGTTTAGGGGAATGCTGCTGGGCAGGGAGGACACAGCTGGGCAGGGAGGGCGCAGCCTCTGACCCCAGCTGTTCCGTGCTGGTATCAGCCACGTCCAAAGGCTGTTCCCTAGGAACCAGCTGCCCCAAGAACTACAACACGTGGGTAGGTAAGAGCTGTGCAGCGACTGAACAGAGAGGAGCCACAAACTCCTAAACTGGAAAAGGCATCTTTGGTTTCACATCTACAGTGTTTTAAATTGCAGGCTTAAAGTCATCTGAAGATGCTCTGGAACCTCCAGCTGTCCTTTCCAGAGGGCAAAAAGTCTCAAGTTGCTGTCAGAGTATACAGATGTCTAGAAATGCACATCAATTTTAAATTTCTGCCAAATTCCAATCCTGCTTGATGCATGCTGTTTTGCCTTTTCTTGGGAGCTCCTGCCAAAACAGCCCAACTTCCAGTATTAGCAAAAACATGCAAGCACTCCAAGTTATTGCTCCACTTACACCTATGAAAAGGTTTCTAACACAGGAATGAGATATCTGCATAGAAAACTGTCAGAAGAGGAAAAAGCGATTCTCAGTTTTCTGCATAATAGTATTTTTGTGGGTGTCACCTCGGCAACATTACAAGTGATCAAAGAAGTGACTGCGATACACTGCGGAGCAGCTGGGTAAGATGGAGCAGCTCTCCTCTGGAGCTCAGGACATTTCGTATCACGTAACACGGCTCAGCCCGCAGCAGCGTCACGTCGGTGTGCTGGGAATCAGCGCTGGGAGTGGAAGTCTGAAGTTGGAAAATCACCTTTACATGACGAAAACACACACAGTTCCAACATAAGCGGGGTGTTTTCATCTGAAGAAAAAAAGTGATCTCTCACTAAACCTGGGGGACAGAATGACAACTGGGTTTTTCTTTAACAAAGGAGCTTTTCAGATGAAGCAGGAATGTCAGCTTCAGTGCATACTCTGCTGACTGGAACACGGTCAAGTCTTAACTAAGTTCCACATAATGTTTTCAGGGGAAAAATGGAGAATGTTTTATGGAATTCAAGTCTGGATTTGGCTTGCATCCTAGAACATACATCTTGTTATGAAAACTGTTGAATCGCTTTTAAGCAGGCAAACCACAAGTGTCCCTGGAGCCACCCATTCACCTGGAAGTCCCACAAGCAAAGGGAAGGCAGAAGAGCTTTGGTCTGGGGCGGCCGGGGGCTGCAGGGGGAGGGGAGATGGTTTTGGAAGTACCTCGTGAATGGAACTGCTTGCTTGTGCCTACAGCATGAAGCAGTTAAGACTTGTTTTCTGTTATTGTCACAGATCCAATACGTTACTCCAGCTACATCATAATCTCTTCCTGCCTCGGTTCATCCATGTGTAAACCTGATTCACTAACTCTTACCTTAATGTGTCATGGGGCTTAATTAATAACACTTAGGTCTTTTAAGCCCTCTACAAACATTAACTACTTCTTGTAACAACTCTCAGAGGTATTATTATCCCCACTTTACTGATGGAGACACAGCAAAAGAGGCCGCAACTCTCCCAAGGCGGCAGAGCAACGGTTACTCCTAGTGATCCCCTCGGAGGGCCGTCGTATCGTAACCGTGGAAACTTAGCAAGAAAGGCAAAGTCGATGCGCACCACCTCAAAAGCACTTTCAGAAGCGCACCGTAACCGGAGGACCAAAAGGAACGCACCCAGAAGCAACAGGCTCGGGACGGGATCGCGAGCCACGGCCGCCGCCGCAAAGCACAGCGCCGGGGCAGAACCCGCCGAACGGCGCCGAAGCGCCGAGACCCGTCCTCACGTGCCGCCGCGCCCCGTCGCACCAAGCGGTGGCGAGCGGACGGGCGAGGCGGCACGCCGAGCACCGGGCTGCCCCGCGGCGGGGCCCCGAGCCGGGACGGAGCCGCCGACCCCCGCGGGAGGAGCCCCGCCGCGCCCACACCGGCGCCCGGCTCGGCGAGGGGCTCCCGGCGCGGGGCACGGCCCGAGCACGGCGGGGACCGCCGGCCGCCCCCGGAGCCGGCCCGGCCGGGACGCGCCCGCCCCGCCGCCCCCCCCGCACGCGGGGCCCGGGGCGCCCCGCAGGCCTCGGCCCGGGGCGGGGAGGCGGCGCGGGGTGACAGCCGCGGGCCCGCTCCGCACGGCGCGGGATGAGGGCTGGGCGCGGGCCGGGCCGGGAGGAGCGGGCGGCGCTGCGGGACGCGCGGTTCCCTCCCGCGGGCCCCGGTCCGGGCTCCGCCGCGCGCTCCGGAGCGGCCGCCCCGCGCCGCCCGCCCGATCCCGGGCTGGGACCCCGCCGCCGCAGCGTCACTCACCTGCGGCGCGGGGAGCCGGGCGGGCCCCGCAGGACGAGTCCCCGGCGAGCGGGCGGTGCGGGCCGGGCCGGGCCGTGCGGGCGGTGCTGTGTTTACACCGCCGCCGGGGCTCGGCGCTCCGCGGCCGCTCAGCAGCCAGTCGCCATTTCCCGCCTACCGACCTGCTACACCGCACGAAGGGACCCGGATGGGGAGAGGGGCCGCCGCGCAGGCGCAGCCCGATCGGGGGAGGAGGAGGAGGCGGAGGAGGCGGGGGGCCCGGGTACGGCGGCGGCGGGGCGGGCCGGGAAGGAGGGAGCGGGGCCTCGCGTGGGGAGCGGCGCCCCGGGGCGGCAGGGCTGAGGGAGCGGAGCGGAGCGGGCCGGGCAGCGGGCAGCCGCCTCCCGCTCCTCCTCCTTCTCTTCCCCGGTCCGGGAGCGGCGGGTGGCGCTGAGGGGCCTTGCGAGGAGGACAGGAAGGAGGAGTGCGGCGGTGAAGCGCCTGTAGGGCCGAGCTGAGGTGAGGTGAGGCGGGAAGGGGCGAGGGGGGGGAGGTGAGCGGCTGAGGGGCGGGGAGGGCGCGAGCCGGGCGGGAGGAGGGGAACCTGTGAGGGAGGGGCGGGGCGCTCCGGGAGGTTCGGCCGGGGGCATCGCCGCCCCGCGCTCTGCTCTCCGGCCCGCGCAGCCCCGCGGGAGGCGCTGAGGTCGGAGGAGCGCGGTGGCGGGAGCGGCGTTCTGCCGCGCTGCCTGGGATGAAGCGGCCACGCGGCGCTGCCCGGCCTTGCGAGGCTCCCCGCCAGGTTACCGGACCCGGCCGGCCGCTCGCTCTGCCCTCCCGCCCGGCTCCTGCGGCGTTCGCGTCGTTTCCGCGCCGCGGCGCTGCGATCAGAGCCGTTGCTTCGGGACACCCGGACGGTCCGACGCGAAGTTTCGTTCCCGCTTTACTTTTTTAATTCTCGGCGGACTCTCGTGTGAGATGTTGAGGACGCAGCATCCTGACCGTCCCGTCCGGGACAGCAGGCGGTGCTGGGTTGGCACTGAGGGCTTACAGCCCGCTGAGCTGCCGGCCTCGCCTCTCCTAATGGCTGGGAGTGCTTTCATCTGCAAATCCGTGGTTCTCACATCAGTGTTGTACGACCTTCGGACAGCTTCTCAAGTTGTCGCTCGGATGCACGTTCTCTCAGGCACCCGTGCGCACAAACCTGCTCGGGGTGCTCTTCTTCCTTCTCTGATACCCGTTGACACTCCTACAGGTTTCAGACCTGAGTTGTGTTACAGAAGTCCTGGCTCTCTTGTCACTTATTTATTGGTTTGTTAAACAGAATCACATCAGCTGCTGCGGAGCCAAGAATTGGTTTAAAATTGTGTTACAGAACTCTCGCTTTCCTAGGAGAAGACATCATAGAACTAATTTTACCTTCGTTTCTCCAGGAAGCGGGGAGTAAAGCTGCGGTGGAAGCAGTGCAGTCGTTATTCAGAGGAGGCCTTGTTCCTGTAGAGCATTACAGTGTTTCTAAACACAGGCTGTGGGAAAGGTTAGCTTGGAAAGCTGGTAAAACTTAATTACGACTGTCTGACAGTCCGTTAAGAGGAGTATGGCAGGGTAACTCTGTGATGTCTCATAGTACAAGCCCAAAAGGACATTCAGTGGTACTCATAAAGTGGGAGTTTTGAAAAACAATAGGTGGTGAGGCTTTTCCAAGCTATGTAATTATAATGAAACTAACTGCCAGAGGAAACCATTCAGCAGCATTCAAAGCACACAGATATTTGTAAGAACACAAAAAGCACCTACTGCATTCGCAGCAGAAGCCAAGAAAACATTTAGAAGATGCTGAAGCACGTGACTTGGTAATCTGTAGGGAATAAGAACTGTGCTTTTCTGTATCCGCAGCGGTCAGTGCCTGGTTCAGAGCAGGGGCGGGGGGTGCTGTTGGATCAGAAGGGTTGAGAGCTTTGTCACGTGTCGGGTGAGGACACATGAAGTCATACTGCTCAAGTTCAAAGGTCCACCTGCTGCGACCTGTTCCTCACTCATAAAGTGGGAGCGCGCTGTGCCACGAGGAGCTGAGCGGCGCTGCCGGCTGTGCGCACGAGGCATGGGAAGCTTGGAAGGCAGCTTGCTTCAGAAGGGGCTCTGCATCGGCGATGGCGGGTTCTTCTCTTGGCAGTCAATTGCAGGGACTGCCAACTGAGATATCCTAGGTGCGTGTTTTCTTCACTGAGGGAAAAAAATCCGTCGTTGCCAGCAGTGTTGCGCGGTGTTGAAATGTTATGCTCTGTTAATGTTCATTTGAACGGCCGTTCTTCGTGACTTCCTCCCAACTCTTTCTGCTGTTCTCAAGTCTTGCTGGCCTGCTAGCTTTGTGTTCCCGTGCTCACTGCCAAGGACTTGCTTAGAGTCACTTCCTTGTTTGTCACAGAGATTCCGTGTGCGTGAGCCCAGCTCTTGGTGAGCTGCTGCATACACCTGCCTTCAGGTGCCGTGTGTTTTACAGGGCTAAATTCCATGGCTGTGAGAAATAGTTGTTTAAACAACGCAATTCTTGTTTGGGTGAAAGAATTTTAAAATTATCTATTTCTAGTATTTGTTATTTCTCTTCCTTATCTGAAGGGAATACGCTTTGTTCAGTAGGTGAACAACCACGGACTTGACTTGCTTGAGGAGCAGCTCGCAGGCTGTGCTTGCTCTGCATGCCCAGACGTCTGTCATGCAATCTGTCTGTCCAGGAGCAGCTACAGACTTACTGTTCTGACTGCTTGCACTTAGCAAGGGAGCCAGAATTCATATGGTGCTGTGCGCCTCTTCAGACACAAAGGCAAGCGTGAATTTAAACCAACTGAAATGTGTGTTCGATTTAGCACAGAACATCTTTGAGGTGTCTGCAGCCACGGAGCAATCTGCCAGGGATGGAAACGCATCCTTCAGCAGTCGGTCCGATTGCAGGAGGTTGAACTGTGGAGTGTCCATACTAGCAAGCCTTCGCTGCTCCGTGGGAAGACTTAGATTTGGGTGGCAGGACTGGGAGTGTTCGTGTTCCTGCATTGGCACAAGTCCTTGCACACGTACCGTAACCCTGATTCTGTGTGTCTGAAAGTCCCAGTGTAATGCAGTAAATAAGTATACGTGCCCCACTTTCTCTTTAAACCAGTGCTGTGTTGGAGAGGCACAGTGTCCTTGGTGCTGGAGTCAGCCAGAAGGTTCGAGCTGCTGCAGAACGCTGCACTGTTTCTGCGCGGGGAGACGAGCTGTTGGAAGCACTCAGCCTTACTTCTTCTGCTTGGGAAGGAGTGCAGCTGAGGGTGGCGGTGAGTTCTCGGCATACCACAAGTACACACACACGTGTTTGTTCGGGCAGATCCGCCGGAGTCTGAAGTGAGCAGTAAGTGGCTGTGTGTGCAGAGGAGCTGAGGGGTGCCAGCTTTCCAGAGCTGCACCAGAAAGTGACAGATAAAGAGCTGGCTCCTCTTCCTTTTCTGTGTGGGCTTTGCCTCGGCAGCTCGTGCAGCAGAGCGCACGTGAGGGGCTTGCTTCAGCCTTTTATTGCAGAGTTTTCAGGATTTGATTGCTTGTGCAGAGTCTGCTGCAGATATAATTAAACTGAAGCAGAAGTGCATGACAACCTGTATGCAGCTTAGCCAACCCTGTGTGTTTCCCAGGCAGATCATGCTGTGAATCACTGAAAACATGTAATCTTCTATTGCAAAGTGCTTGCTTACTGGAGTTCTTTTGTTCTGTAGGCCGTGCATTTTTCACTGTTTATGATTTTGTCTGTATGAAAATGTAAACTCTTAACAATTAATAAAATATGTCACTCATTAGTTATTCAGTGTCATTTTCGTCTTGTCACCTTGGTCTGGAAATAATTTCAGCAGAATGCCCTTTGCAACTCTGGCAGTTCTGGAAAACGTGGTTGTGTTTCATCAGGTGGAAGCCATCGCTTTGGGTTTCCTACTTTTCAAGGAGGTCAGCTTCAACAGCGAGTCTTTGCTTTTGTGGGACCCATGGAGCTTGGGGAAAGCTTTGGGAAAAGCTGCCTACTGAAAATCCATAAATAGAACTGGGTGGCTGGAGCTAACTAGAATAAATGCAGTATTTCTTTGACTGTTCACTGTAGGAACTTGGATGTCTCGCTGTTGTTGAAATCAGCCGTCAGGCTTGGCAGAAAGGCCTCCGGCTGGCTGCTGATTGTTTCCTTTGGTTACTTACAGGAGTACCTGGAATTCGTGTCAGTGCAGTGGGAGGCTTTTCCCGCTCTGCAGGACAGACACCGCTCTCACTCCATGCGTAACAGATTTAAAACTGAATTAAATAGTCTTAAGAGGAAAACTTGGTCTCATCTCTAACCCTTCTTTGGGCCAGGGGAGGAGAGGAGGAAGGGAAAATAGCCGTGGCAGGGAACGTGAGCCGGGTGCTGGTGGCCGTTTTCCCTCGTTTCAACATGCTGAATTTCCACCAGCTTCAAATCCCATGTGTGTCCCTGAGGTGTGAGAGCACTCATATTTTAAACAGAAGCGCAGGTATTTTCTTCTCTGGTGTTTACCAGAATTGAATTGAGCTGTCTGTAACGGAGTAACAGTTGCCAAAGCTCTGAAAGTTCCTGCCCCGTTTGTACGCTAATGCCTCTTCAAGTCAGATTTCTCTTTGGGGCTGGGCATAAAACAAAGTACTGCAATCTCTCGCTGAGCAAAAATGGCTTAGGAATATGTATTTTCTCAGTTTAACCTTGAGCAAAATATTTTTGGCATCAGAACATTCATTTCCATGGACTTGTGCTTTTAACGTACAGCTTTTCATAATTGGCCAGGTTTGGTTTGGTTATTTATGCAAAGCGGAGAGGCGCTTCGTTCTTTTCTGTCTTTGCCTCTGAAATCTTTAGGAAATGGGACAATTGCAGGGATTTCCTTGGTCCTTGGTGTGCTGTCAGCTCTGCGTGTTGGAGGAGCTTCCTCATGTGGCTGTTACACGTTGGTTGATCTGTACTGTGCTTTGAAGCCGTAAAACTCTTAATTAGGCTGGTAGATTTACACATGGATGCGGATAGCTCACAAGCATTCTGCTGTCATCCCCCCTTACTGCACTGGAGCTGGGCTCTGCATCTGGTCCCTGAAGGACAGCACTCCAGCAGGCTGAGCTCCGAGCTGCCGTGTTTGGTTCAGCTCTGCAGCTCCTCAGTTCTGCTGCCGTATGGAGGCTGGGACAACAGAAATACTGCAGGCGTTTTTGAACACCAGCTCACCCCCACAACTTCTTGGTTGACATCAGAACTCCTTCAGGCAGTGTGGAAGTGCAGGCATTTCTTACTCCCTTTCTGCCCTGTGACCCAGCAGCCATTGTGGCCATTACAGCCTTGGGCTTTTGAAATGGAGAGAAGAAAGCAGAAAAGGGCTGAATTGTGCAGAGGGCTTCCAGGTAAGTGCACGCTTTCAGAAGCTGCTTGTTTCTTGTATGCTGCTTGAGACTTTTATAAAATACTCATTTCTGTGCTTTTGGTTTTTTTTTTGTTTGTTTCCAAGCTTTACTTTTATAAAAGCTGTTCTAATTCTTATCCCCCGCTTGGCCGCAGGTACCTGTATTGGGTGAGCACAAAGCAGGAGGAGCAGTTCCCTGTGCTACGGGGTTGGGGCAGACTGGGGACTCTTTGGGAGCTCCGTACCCACATGTCCTCCAATGGGAAATGGGGGAGATGATGAGGAATTGGAGGCAGAGGCACTTTCTCCTCCAAAAGCAGTGTCCCCTTCAACTGTAAAATGCAAATGTTTTTCACCTTTTAAAACACGGGGTGTCTTTAAGAAGGAATGAAATAGTTGGCCACATCTCTCACAAGTTAATATAGGTTGCTCAGATGTAGCCTGGGGCAAAACATAGATTTTTCTCATTGCATTTGAATAAAGCTTTCTCTGTTTCCCTTAGATCTCAAATCAGTAGGAAACCCATGTTTCAATGACGAACCATCGCTTGGTTTGGTGTGTGCTTGCAGGGCCGTGCTAGGTGCAGCTGTTACTCTTTATGAGCCTGAGTAAGCGGAGGAAAAGGAAGAAAGTAATGAAAACTCGGTGTACGAAAACTAGAGCGACTGAGCTAACTTGTGCTTTCTGGTCCAGTTTCAGATGCAGTCCTCTTCCCACCAGCACGGCTGGGAGCTCAGCTTGTTGGCACAGCGCTCATCTTCACCACGCTTCCTGACCTCTTCTTAGCAGTGATGATGCTGAGCACTCAGCACTGCAAAACGGCAAGGCGAACAGAAGCCCCTGGAAGTGTGTATGAAAGAGGGATGTGAGTTTATGAGAAGCTAGGGTGAGGTCTGTTGGTCTCGTTTGCTGCTTTTCAGCATGGACTCCTTCCATGCACTGCCATGTGGATGAAAAGCTGCTCATGCACAAGCCTTAAAACAGGAACTCGAGGAGCTGCACGCTGCTTTGTATGGAAACACTGCTCAAACAACAAGATCTGGCCTGGGCCATCATTTAAAGGTGCCTTGATTTTCCTTGTAAAGCAGTTCCACCGCATGCACCAAATGCTGTTCTGAAGTTCAGCTGATGGTTTGAGGGAAGCAGATATTTGAGTAGCGCTCTCTGAAATATGTCAACATTTTGTGTGCTGCTGTTTCCATGGAAACGGGTATCAGCTCAGAAAAATGGCTTCAGGATTTCAAAACTGGATGTAAAAAATAAAATCCAGAGAGGTTGGTCATTCATACTGCTACTCATGAGCTGATCTTGTGGTGCTAACCGATGTGCCGTGAACACATGAGGTGTAGACCTATGCATACTACACCTATAGACCATGCACACTGGTAGGTCCATGATTTATATGTTTTCTAAGTGAGCCTTTGTCTGAAGGAACTTTATTAGAAAATGCATGAGTTGCATTTTTTTCTAGCTTGTTCTCTTCCACATACCTGAAAGCTGTCACATTTTCATCACTTCTTTAGGCCTCTACTTGAAAAAAGGTGAAAGAGGTATTGGATGAAACTACAGATTTAAGCTAGTTGGCAAACTTTTCTTTTTAACATATAATGGCTCAGGGAACACAGAGCTGATTGTTCAGAATCTTTAGCAGCATGTAGGAATGGAGCAGGTGCCATTTCTTTGAGCTGTTTGCCTCTGAGGACGCGTGCTTTAGAAGAGCCGGCTTGCAGGCGAGGCAGTTATCCCTGAGCACGGCATCAGTGCAGGACTCACTGCTGGCAGTGTGCAATGAGCACAACTGCATGGAGCTGAGGGCAGAGCGCCCCACGGATCCTTGGAAAATGAAGACTCCTCTGTTTGGAGTCTTGTGTCTCCAGCTTAGTGACTCGGACGTTTGTATCTGTTTTCTAGCTCAAGCCATGCCTGGATGTCTGTCTTCAATATGAACTGGATGTCCCAAGTCCTCTAGAGCAGTGGCTCCCAGTTGGTGAAGGGCAACATGCTAAAGGAAAGGCGTGGAGCTGGAGGTCGGTGCTGCAGCGTGAAGTGATGGGAAGGGCTGGCTGAGGGGAGGCACAGCCACAGAACGCTGCAGTGCTTCGCTGCACCCAGCAGTAAGGCAGTTCAGAAGGGCTGGGAAAGGACAGTAAGGCAGAACTGCAGGCCTGAAGGAGAAAGGGGATGAGGTGGGGGTACGGGGCTAACTGCTGAGGTGGGGAAGCAGCCACTGCCAGCATGGGAGGGGAGATGGTGTAGAAAACAGCTGTAATGAAGCCACCACAAAAAAAAAACTGCTCTAAAAACATTGGCACTTCCCCAAAAGAACAGAGACTTTTTTTCACTCAAGTGGAATTTGTTTGACAGAACAATTCCCCTTAGAAATAAAATTCTTTAAGCAGCGGATCACTAAATAATGAAGGGTAGAGTGCCCAGTGACCTCCACCAGATTCCTTAAAAGGGCACCCATGGGGATCAAACCATGCTTCTGTACGGGCTCTGCTTCAGTTGGTCTCCCAAAACACTGGGGTAAAGCAAGCCTACAATTCATGCACAGTGTGCTGCCCATAATAACAGGTTACTGACCTCAGTGTGTATGTGGGCACTTACCAAGGGCAGTGTGGTTGTACGCTTCTCCCTGTACACCTCCACAGTAACCTGTCTGACCAACGGTCTCACAGGCTTTAAGGATGGAAATGCAGCGCAGAAGCAACGTGCAAAGAGCTGCCCAGAGAAGTTTTTGTACAGCACATCAGAGACCCCACAGCCAGGGATTCTGGGAGGATTTTACAGCAGCTACAGCGATGCCAAGTTATTCTTGTCTATCTGTTACAGCAGCTCAGGAGTTGCTGCCAAGGTTGGTGCCCACATTCACACCAACTGCACAGGTACTGCATTTGAAGCTCACGTATGGCTTAAAAATATCCGACAGTGTAATTGTCCTGATAAGACAAGAAAGTCTGTATGGCTTGTACGAAGGTCCTCACCTCACTGCCCTGTGAGTTGGCTTTTAGCAAGCAGCTGCAACCACTGCTGCTATGTCAGACTACTCAGCTCCTGTGTTAACCTGATTTTCAGAGCCACGATCACTTTGATATGGCTGCAGAAGGAAACAAAAGAGCCAGAAGCCTCACAAACTTTAAACAATTTATTAGAACCCAATATATTAGAACACCTAATTCAGGGTGAAATTACATTTTAAGACCAAAAAAATGCAATGCTTAGATATGGCATTTACTGTGACTGCTATTCTTAGAATCCTGGTACAGGTTTTTCTTCCTGTGTGATGTCAGTATGGATCTAATGCAGAGCAGGCCCAGCGCTTTGCTTTGAGGGCTGCTCCCCCCACCTCTCAGACACGTAATGAAGAACTCAGGCCTCAAACACCACCACCAGAGGGAAAAAACCAAACTGCTGCAAGGCATCACCAGAACGTGATGTTTTATTTCTCGTATGTTTTAAGACTCATTAGCAGAATAATGTAGCAAAACAAAAATCATGCAACTTCTGAAATGTAAAAGGTCCACTGAATGGGCATCAAGCAAGACTGTTATTTCAGACTGGAACCTGAATAGAGAGTACAATCACCCATGTCAAAGGTCCTGTAATTTCTTTTCACAGTAGCCCTTTTGGAGAAGCAGGCTGGGTTAATAACCTCATTATCCACTACTGCAGATCAACGGAATCATCTCCATAAAATACAGAAAGTGCTGAACACATAATACAAAAAGTATCTAACTTACAAACTGGTCGGAGACACAAAAGCAAAGGTGGAAGTGGCAGATGGTTGGAGAGATCTGTACCAAAGTATTACATTGTAAGTGAACTCGAGTGACTGCAACACAGGATGGAGTCTCTTGGAACAGAGAAACTGCATACAAGGTATTTAGGGAGGGTAGGGGTTGTGCCTTCCCTTCAGGTTCCTGCAATGCTGATGCAGATTTCTTCCCTCCCCCATCCCCACACTACCTGCTCTCTCTCCTTTAACACGTGCACAAAGATCCCCTACAAGCTGTGCTGAATTATTTATATCAGCTTTTAAGATAAGCTATTAGTTACACAACTTTCTCAGGATGTATCGAATTACTGGAACTCTGCTGCCACTGATCTGCAGCTCTAGCTGTGAGTTTTGGTCACTGTACGTGAGAATCAAAATGGTGCTTGCTTCTGAGGCCTGTGCCACTGTCCTTCCTCACTTACATCAAAGAAGGAGCAATTTTTAAGCATTCAGTTTTCATTCTCAAACAATAGCTCACCTGCAAAACACAAAACACACAGCACTCATGAAAAAAGCAGAGTATTTTTGCTCATACAGGAATTACTGTAGAAAAGGAGTCCTCTGGCTGTACATTGTTTCCACAGTGTATTTGGTACATGAGATACAAACTGTACAAGTTCTCCAGTTTACAAAGGTTTCTAATTTGCAGAAACAACTCGGCCCCTATTTATAATATTGTTTTAAATGTCGAGATTCTTACAGATAAGGTACAGTCTGAGTAATCGGCTCAATGTAACAACAAAAATGTCATTTTAATACAATTTGCAATAGTACAACTATGTACATATGTACAGAACTGTTTCCTTCTGTTGCTTCCCTAACTTTTGAGTATACTTATCTTTAATTATCAGTTTGTTTTAAAGTATGAAACGGCAAAGTAAAAATGGTTCAGTTTTGCAGCACTTCAAGTTCTTCAGCTGAGATCTCATCTGCATTCCCCAATTAACTCAAGCCTTAAAGAACACCGTCACCAAAGCGTGGCTTGCTGTAATCGACGAGGTCGTTCTGTAGGTCTCTTTCTTCATCATCTGCAATGGAAATATTCAGACCAATTCTCATGTGATGGTAATGAAACGAAAGATGAAGCAGGCTTTCCCCTGAACACAGTGCTAACTCATCCACCCGCACCTTGTCTGCCCGTGGGAATGGAGTCCCCTGGGCCCACAGGGCAGCACAAGGCCCTGCCTGCTGGCAGCACCTGGGGGTTTGTCCCCGCTGACAAACTGTGACTGCACACTACTGAGCATCTCCAGCTTTGTTCAACTGCATCTCAGGCACCTGATGACTTGAGGGATTGCAGAACTACTGTGAATTGAGAATGTTCCTTTATAGGCTTGAAACTCTCGCACTAAAAGCCAACCAGAAAGTCTCTGCAATGTTGGAAGGTTACATCAGCACGGGTTACAAGTTGGCAGAGTTGAAACGCTGCAGGGTTTTACCAGAGGTTGGGAGCCATGCAAGACCAGCACAGAGGAGTCCTTGTGAGCCTCCTCCAAGGCTCTGAACAAACTGCAGAGGAGCTGATACTCTTCCAGCTTACGCCTTAGGTTTGAAAAATGACACTCTGAATTGCCTGTGCTATCAGCATTGTTACAGACTGCTATCCTGCATATCAGACTCAAGTATAAAACTTGAAGGACTCTTAAAAGCACAAAAAGCAGCGTTCAACCTTTCCATGCTTCTTAGCAATAGAAATCTGTATTCCCTCAGCCTTGCTAGAAATCAGCAATGCATTCTTCACAGCCAAAACACAACCATCCAGTCAGGCTACCAAGCAGTAAATAAACAGCCATCATCACCCATTGAAACATCTGCTCCTAAACATGCCGTTGTTCTGCAGCTCAGCCAGGAAGCAGAGTGCAGCAGTGCAGCAGAGCAGCAGAGCAGCCTGCAGCTGATGCAAAGCACCCGGATGCTCTGCAGGCTGGCTGCTGCTTCGTCCCTGGCTGGGAGAGCGAGTGAAGGCGTCCCACGCTGCAGATCCCACGCGCCTGCCTCCTGCTGCTCTCCTACTTCTTGACTCCTAGTCCTGGGACTTGGAGGCTCGTGAAAAATCATAAAAACAAATGCTCAAAACTTGCTCATCCTCACTGTATTCATTTACTGTAGTGCACAAAAAAAAGTAAAATCAAGGAAAACATATTTTGAAGCATCTCTTGCAAGAACTGCTGAGGCACATGATTCTGGCTGCCGTCATTGAGATGGCTCCTGTGTGGCCCCACAAGAAAAGAGGTCCTGAGAGTCCAGTGTGTTTTAACCCAGAAGCTTCTGCTGCGTTGCAAAGCTCGCGGTGTCCCTTACGCCCAGGTGAAGGACGCTAGTTCACAGGAGCAGAAAGCAGAGTTCAAGTCACTGCCATCAGCTGCCCTCCACAAGTTTACTAAGCCGATCGCTTGCCAATAACCTGTCTGAAGCTCTAAAACAGTCACAAGTTTATTATCAGCCCACAAGTGAGGCAGGTACACCGGCACTACAGCCACTGGCAAAGGCTTGTTTATCTGCGTGACACACGCTGTTGTTCGGTAGAAGCCACTAATAAAGCATGTGGGCATCACCTGATTGGTATAATCTGCCACCACCAAACTTCTACTACTGGTGCAGAAGCCAGCAGTGTCCCTTTCACTTTGCATTTCAAACAGGTGAACTGAAAGGAGAAATGCCAGTTTGGATGCTGGTGTTCACAGGAAGGCATCTCCCAAACTTCTCTGTTTTCCTTATATTTCAACATAAGGCCCATGCAATTTTAGTGGTAACAGAAAAACACATTTAACCAAACTGCCTTGTTTACACATACCAGATGCTTTGTTCTAGCCTAATGCAGAACCACGTGATGTTTTCCTAATAGTTTTGAGGCAGAAATTCAGTGGGCTTTTCTTTTTATAACCTCCAAACAATTATAACAACCCCTCCTCCAAAATCCCACAATTCCACCTTCTCTTCCCCTGCTGGTAAATTAAGTACAAAACCTAAAGCAGACACTTCTAAAATGCTGGCAGTACCACTCTCCACACAGAACAAGCCAACAAGTCACCAGGAGACAAGGCAACAGATGGTTTGGAACACGAAGCCAGAGGTTGTAATGTGCTGCTTGGGCTGTTCTGCAGGAAGAGCCCCCAGGTCAGCCTTCAATCTTCACTACATGGCACAAAATCTCTTCTGTCTGTGCAGATGTGAACAGACTGGGCAGGAAAGTCCAAGGCGAAAGCCACCACAGCACTGAGCTGAGAGGTGTCACATCAGCAAGTGAAAGTTCTGAGGCCACTTTCAATTGCAGCTCCTACACAGCAAGCTGCATAACCACAACCTCTGGTTTCTATCAGTTCTCCAGCACTCACTCCCATGTTGAGCCCATCACTGCATAAGCTGCTGGCAGCGCACCATTCAAGGCACCTGTACTGGTTCACAGCTCACTGGATATTGCTTCTGGCTACCTCAAGCCATTGGTTTTCTCGCAGAGCCACCACAGCAGTGTTGGTAAGCAGGCAGATCCGTGCTGGGGGCACAGTGCAGCGTTTGCAGGGTCTGCAGTGCTGCTCTGCTGCCTCGCCGTGCTGCTGGGCATCTTCAGCCCGGCACAGAGGCAGCGGCTGCCTGCAGGCTGAGCCACACGAATGGCACAGGGCAGCACTGGCACTCACTCATGTCAGGAGTCACCCTTTGAAGTCCAGTTAAGGAAGCGATGCAGAGAGCAGCCAGGCATCACCCACTGCATATGAGGGAGAATTGAACTAAATAACGACCAAAACTCAACTCAATCCACACCACTGCTCGGATTTGCAGAGTGCACAGCAGACATGCCTCACACCGTGCTTTCCTTTGCTCTACAAAACCACGACCATGAGAAACCAGCTTCCTGCTTCCACAGGGCAGTGCCCATCAGTGCAAGAGGCCATGTGGACTATTTACAGTCATTTGGAAGCTGGCCTTAACAATCCGTTCAGAACCTCATCAGAGCACACCCAGAGAGATGGGCATTTGTAATCCAGAGCAACTGAAGTCCCCTGCTACAGCTCTGAATGGAAGCGTAGCAGCCAGCCCATGTCACCTGGAGCAGCAGCACTTTTCATTTTCATCAGTGAGCAAATTAATTGCCCAGGGTTCTGATCCATACCGTTCTTGTGCTTGTTCTTGTGTTTCAAACTACCAGCATGCAGCAGTGCACGCTAACAGAAATCAGCTGCATTCTATCAGCTTTTCCTATTCCTATGCTTGGATGACAATAAAATCATTGACAACCCACCAGTTAAAAAACCTGCATTGCAAGGATCAAAATCAGGGTGCACACAGAACTTGAAGAGTTACAGCCCTCCCATCCTCTGCGCTCCCCCTTTATTTTGCATCATTTCCTTAATTGGAAATACTGTAAATGTTTCAGCAGACATTTCCAACCTCTAGACATGCAAGCCCTTCACAAGACGTTACCAAACAACTACATGGAGAACGGCAGACAACGTGGCAGCTGCACAGCAGACAACAGAGAGGTGACACAGTGAGACGCATGCATGGGGGGCAACATGCAGGGATGGGTGTTAGGCTGAGTTCTGAAGTTTGGTTGACAAGGGGAACCAAAGTCTGTTGAATCTGTGTAGGATGCACAAAAAGTTACACCATACTTGA